AAGAGTGGTGAGGCATTGGAACAGGCTGCCCAGGGAAGAAACATGTAGATGTGACACTGAGATACATGGTTTAGTGGGCATGGGGTGATGGGTGATGGTTGAACTAGATGACCTTAGTGGTTTTCCCCAACCTCAGTGATTCTATGATTCTGTCAGCATAGACAACGTGCTTTAATGAACAAGTACAGCACAGAAAGAAGAAATCAAAAACCTGAGAACACAAATGCGAATGTTAGGAAAAAGAAGTGGGACAATACCCTATCAAATCTGTGGCATTAGTAATTTAATAGCTGTCCTTGATAGAAGTCATATACACAAACATGGAAACTATTCCACATCCAAACCATGCCCAGGGGACCCCTCTTCTGGTGACTTCTGGTCAAATAAGATCATGAAACTAGAGCAAATGAGAGACACTAATATGGAAACTAGTTCAAGAGGACAAATTTATACTTCAGAAACAAAACTAAGAGAGCCTTTATTAGACACAATGCTGAGAAAATGGAATCTGGGAAGAGCATGATTTAAGATAGATTTACTGAAGTACCTCTTCCTTTTGTTTACCACAAACCTAAATGCACATTTGAAAAGATCACCTTAAAAATCCTTTTGATTTCAGATCATTTTTTTCTGTTTCAAGGACACTGTCTCCTTTCAGCATTTTTTAATAAATATCTGAGCTAATATCAGACAGGCAGCCAGATAAAGAGTTTGTCAAGTCACATCTCCACAATAGGAAACTCATTTATATGAAACACTCCTACAGTGTGACTGTGTGTGTTGCAAGAAAGGGTTGGAAGAAGATGACCTATCCTTTTGATTTATATCTACAGGGGTTCTGGCATATTGCTGGACACTTGTTGTGGTTAAATAATTATTAAATTGTCGTTATTCCAGGACAAACAAAACGTATAGCCAATTTTACTGTGAAAATCATGCAAAAGAGCTAAGCGTGCTGTTCGTATTTGATTTTCTTGGATGGCACAGTGCGCTGAAATCACTGATTGTCAGATGTAATATGGAACACCAAATGCTTCGAGGCTAGGAGTGTTCTGTCACTGTCATGCTGTGGATAATTTATGCCAATATTCTTCTGATGCATCAGAGCAGCAGGATGTACTGGATATCGTTCTGTTGCCTCAGTACTTCAAGGTAACTCAGCGGTAGTGCAGTGATGGAATCCCAGGTATTAAACCCCCAGGGGGTATCACAGAGCTCTGCTATTTCTCTGACCCCCCATCTAGTGCTACCTCTTGCCTGTCCTTCCAGTGCAAAGATGCATCATAAAATTAGGTGCTGATTTGGAGAGTAAGAAAACAGGTGAAAATACACAGCTAAGAAGACTCAAGAATGGAGAACCAAATCAACTCTGTTTCACACAATGATCTCCTCTGCTGCTATCTCAGGCAAAGCTTCATTAGCTGCTAGCCCTGTATTCATGCCAGCAAGTACATATTTTCATTAGTAAGTGAGTGGAGTTGACTTCTGAGATCCCTCACATGCTCACATCCTTCACCTGTAGCTTTCACTTTGCTGGTTGTCTGAAGGAGCTGTCTGCATGGAATAAAGCAAGGGAGGACTAGCTCCATCCAAGTCTGACACAAAGTCTGATATACCAGATACGGGCAAGGGAGTGTAAACAGAAAAAAATAATTTCTATGAGATCATGTGATTTGTGCTTTATTCCAGTGTATATGAAGTCCAACTTTTTGACTTAAACACCTGGTCCAAAGCCCATTGAGTCCAGGAATACACTCTGGGCCTCAATGCATTTTAATAACTGGAGATTTCATTTTAAATATTAACAGCATGTCTCTAAATAAAATGAATTTTATTATCTTTGTTCACAGACTGATGAATGATAAAAATGATATAAAATTCAGCCTGAGCAAATATGCAAGTCTATTTACAGATCTGCAGAGGAAACCTTGCACAGCACCTGCCCACACATAATTCTGGCTCCTGGCACTACTTTAAGGAGGACTGAATTCCTTCCCACCCACACGTCTTTACATAAGTAAAAGCTTAAACATCAATTCAGACTAAACATTTTTCAATGCACTCCCCTGAGTACCATAAAAAGGAACAGTGATGTAAATGAAACTTTAATTTCCAACGTGTTCAGTAACCGTTGTGCTAAAAACTTAGATTTTAAAACAGTACTAGTTTATTTAAACTTAGTAATTCCCACTTCCAGTAAATTCCTGTGTTCCAGCAGCACACTGTGTTTCTACTGGAGACTCAGAGACCACCACTACATATTATTCAGCAAATGGAAAAGTTGTGGTGAATGTGCTGAATGGCTGATTAAACAAAGTGCCATACAATATGATTTTCAACTTGTAACGTGAAGAGGGGCATCTTGGTGCCGGATTTCCTATCCTCTGGTGGGCCAATGAATTTCTTTCTCTGGAATGCAAAAGTCTGGTCTATAAAAAGTTGCTATGAATGGCAGCACATCACTATCAGAAATCACTATCACTGAACCATGTAATTATGTACAGTTTCTATAGAGACTGGCAAGACACACATTTTTAGGAGCCCAGTGATTAAGGGTGGATTGAAAATCACCATGCAAGACTATTAATGAAAGGAAAAATCAGATGTCGGCCACTATCACTGATGACAAGTCTAGTGTTAGAAGAAAGATGATGCAAAAGTATCTGGTCATATCTAATAAGTGTCTAAGAAAGAAGCATCTAGCAGGGAAAGGTTTCCAAGAAACAGCTAACGATCAGCTTCATTAGCTCAACATGACTTCAGGACAAATTTTTGAACACTCAGATTGGGGTCTGAGCTTGTAACATTGTTCAAAAGTCAAAAAACTAGAAGGTTTGGCCCTCTGCTCTGGCTCCACCTGGTCTTTTGTGGGACAACAGTAGTCTGTCATCTTTTTCACAAATTACGTGTTAAGTGTCTTAAAATAAAGTTGCTCATAACCTGTATTTGGATAAGGAAAGACAGTGAGAAGCCTGGAACATTTTCCTGCTGATTTCAAAGTGGCACTAACAACTGAGGTAGAGGCATGAACCACGGCAGCCTGACAGCAACACTGGAATTGCAGGAATAAAAATCAGCTTCCACTACTACGGAAAAAACGGCTCAGCTTTGTGACTTCATTGAGATGAAAGTGCCTGCCTTATTACTGGCTGGTCAAGGAGGAGGGTCATGTCTAAACACCATGTTGCCAGACTCAAAAGAATAAGAACATGCTCCAGAGCAGGCAGTTTTAACTGTGCCAGCTTTCACATTAATTCCACCGTATACCAGAATACTATTTCTGTTTCTCTGAAACCTAAACTGAATATAACTCCTGCAAAAAACTGCTGATCTACTGGACCTAAGTCATGCTTCACAGCATTTCACCCAGTGCAGCTGTACTAACTTTAAGGGAATTTACCCATTAACATGAGAAAGGAGAAGTAGGTTTATTGTCTTTAAAAAAACAACTTGAATCCTCAGAACCAATTTATTAAACTGAACCTATTTAAATACAAAAGAACAAGGAAGTGAATTGGCTCGAGCTTATGAAGTCTATATATCAAAGTTGTGTGCATTTTGCATAATTTTTCTCCATCTCATCAACCATTTCCCTTGTGATTTATGCTAAATGCATCCAGAATTAAAGAAAAAAAATAATCATTTTCAGGCACTGTTAGCCATGAAATGGATTCCCTAGGTTTCACTGCATATTAATAAGATCGCTTTTGCATCCACTCAACTTCATGCATAATTATTTTTAGCATCCACTTTAAGTGACTCTTGCTACTCTATGTATATCAGCTCTCAATTCAGATATTTCTAGCATAAATATTCCCTTTCTATAGTATTTCCTTTTACTGGGTAGAATTTAAAAAAAAAAAAAAAAATTTGTTCCTGGTCACAAACCAACCGCTGACAGCACATAGGGAGACACTATGATAAAGGCATTTTACATAAAACCTTTGTTTTTAATGTGTTCTGTAGTATGAAAGTGTGTAGCATTACTCGCTATCGAAAAGATTATTAAGAAGACCTGACCAAGAGTTTGATCTGATAAGCCAGTTCTTATGTTCATAAGATGCTATTGGATTGTAAACTAGGTAAGCTTCTATTGGGCAGAGATGTAATAACAGAATTCTAGTTTTGGTGGGTTTTGCCCACACCATTCACTTCACATTAGTGAATGAAGGTCTTCATAGCAGAGCCTTCGATTATCCTTACCAGTGCACAATATTTTCCACAAATTTTTTTCCCACAAAAAAGATAGATAATTTATCAATGTTAGGGCTAAGACTACATTCCCCTTTCAATAGGATAGACCATTATCTGCATATGCCTCTCTAAAAAAGGTTGCGAATGTTTCTTCAAATCTACTCTAAAGTAGCAATTGAGCATTCACAGAGGAGAATGAAAACTTGTTGATAGTTTATTTCTTTACAAGACAGCTGCTCCCAACTGCAGGAACTGAATCTGCAGACAGCATCTTTGCTATAAACATCACCAAGAACTTACACTGCTACTTATTCTGCCAGGAATTTCCTGCCCGAAGACTGAGCACAGAAAGGCACTAAGAATTCTATGAAAAAAATAAAGCATTCTTCCTGTACTTTAACACTTCACACTTTAATTTTTCAAGAACCAGGAGGGAATCTTCTCGTAAGACTCACTACAGGGAAAGCAGATTCTTAAATCCTACAAAACTGGCTGTGACCCATGGGCCACATCAAGATCTCCGCAAGACTGGGTGACTTCTAAAGTTAAGATGAAGTTGCTCAGGCTTGTGCCACTCTAATCTTGAAAATGGAAAAGACTGGGATTCCACATTTAATTCGCCCCAAGGGAGGTTTTTTGTCTTCTCTTCTGCAAGTTGAACACAATTCTCTTAACCAGATCGGTACTGTGAGGAATAACCATATCCCTGGACCTGCAGGTTCCTTCCCCTTGTAACCATTTCTGCTAGCGCTTATCACAAAAACATTCTCTCATATACATATTGATATACCTCAATTAACACTCACCAGCCACTGCTGAGGTATTTCTGGCAGAGGCATTTGAGGAGGTGCTGGCAGGCTGTTGGCAACTTCTGGTTTCTGCACATGTTCTTTTATTTCAAAACCTGCAGAAGAGAAACACATATCGCTTAACACTTTGGTGGATGCAAACGGGACATTTTTCTGTATGTAGATCATCATACACTGAAATCTGGCTTGCAGTCCTTCTCACAACCTGCCTCCCAACCCTGGTTACTAAGGAAAAACTTGAAGAATGCTGGGAATTCAGGAATTTAATCAAGCACAGCAAACACATACTTACTGTATATGATAATGACATATATGATATTTGGATCAACAAATACCAGACAGAGAAAAAATGTACTGGAAATCATGCTGAACTGCCTACCCATCTGGAACTGAAAAATCTAAAATTCAAACATTGTCAGGCATGTATCACAGATAAAACCAGTGATATGAGGAAGATACTACGCTTAGCACTCTGAAGAGTCTCAGCAGCATCATATAGCAGATAAAATAGTCTATTTCCTCCCTCGGGAAAACCACTAGTTCTGCTGTTACTGGCACAATAATTTAAATTCCATTCAGATTCACTTCACAGGAACATGGCATTGTTTATTTTTCTGAATATCAAGGGGAGGGTGAATCTCAATGCTTTGGCAAAAAAAATCAGCCAACAGGACATACCTTCCTTACTCCTAGACTGAATTAAGTTCATAGTGTTTAGGTAAGTTTATACAATGTATATTTACATAGTCAAATGGATGTCTTTTGGTCAAGATCATGTAATTCTCAAAAATGCAATTAATGATTAAATGTTTCTTGTCACAGTAACCCAGACCCACTGGCTCTGAAGTCATAGATTGAAAAATAACACTGATAAAATAAACCGTCTCTAAGGGTCACAGATTCTTCTTTCTTCCTACAAATCAAGATGCAGATTAGTCTTGGGAAACATTCAATTTTTTTTTGTTTTCACTTGTTTTGGTTTTTTTTTTGTTTTTTTTTCTTTTCCAATTTTACTTGTTCCTCCTTATGTAGGATGAATTCATGTTCCCATGCTTTCCGTAACAACCAAAACTCAAATATGAAGGACGTTTTACTGAAGGAAAAAATATATATTCCAAGTGGATTTTACTCACTCTGTAAAGCTAGTTTTCACCCCAAACTATGAGTGCTTTAGCAAGAACCTGCTATAATATTTTCATCCTTTTAACAAGTTGCATCAAAGTCAGTATTATAAATTTCTGACATAAGTCCCTTTAAGGGAAACCAGCAACAATGATGGTCATATTAAATGACTGAATCCATAATATCTCTTACTCCAAAATCAACTGTTTGTGCCTTTGTTTTTCAGAAGGAAGTCTGAGTTTCACAAGGAAATGCCAAGTGTTTTGTTCAGACCTACAGTACTTTGGGCATGCCAAGATTCAGAAGAAAAACAAAGTTTATAGTTTTGCCGGCTCCTGAAGGTGACCACTGGTTTGGACATGCAGAAGGTGGAGGCCTGGCAGCCACAATGTGAAGAGTACATCTGACTGGTTCAGCTCCCTGATGGGTATTAAGTGAAGGGAGTGGTGTGCATTTAGGAGATGTAAGAACACAATGTGAAAGATTTCTGAAGATTTTTCCAGCTTACTGAAACGAAAGCGACAATTTAAAGTGTTTTACTGAAACATAACCATTATAATTTCCACACCTTTATGAAGAAAAGTGTAATTGTTGACTTCCAGATGTTAGAAAGAATCCATTCAGTTCCCAGCTGCACTGACCCTTCATTACCATTCCCTGTTGTTCTTAAATGGCTTACTTCAGCAATTGAAATACACAGTTGGATTCACACAGTTGATTTTTTCAAATGCCTATAACGAGCCTGAACTCTGCACCGACCTCGGGCTGTGAAACCGTGCCAGCGATCCGCGAGCTCTCATGGAGCTGTGTGGGTGGAGTAAAGCAACGTTTTGAAAAACAGACTCGGAATGACAACTCAGCTTAGTTACAGACTTCTGTGGGCTTAAGAGTCTTTCATTGCTTTTAATTTTAATGAAGAGACGAATAGTTTCAAAGGGATGGGAGTACTGAATGTTACAGCTGATAAAAAAAGCAGCAGGGTCATCTCTGTCCATCTGCATGACTCCTTCTACTGCCTCACAGCCAATTTGAGCCAGCACAAGATGGCTCTCAAGGAGGCAGCTCACTCCTTTCCTGCCTGAATCCTGTCCTGCACCAGCCTCTCCTCTGTGCTGGCATAGGCATGTGTGTGGCCTCAGGTTGAACCAGAGCTGGTCAGGAACAAACCAGTAAAAAAAGCAAACAATGCCTGTGCTAGCAGAAAGGAAGCAGCAACACACGATGAGCAAGAACGAGTAGCCTGGGGAGACTAACAGGATGCTTTTTTTAGAGGCTGTGCTGCCTTACACTCTATTTAAACTACAAATCCTTAAACTGGAGTTTATAGACATATGAAGTATAATCCTATGACTTCTTGCTTAACTGAGCTATAGGACTTCCTCTAATTAATTCTTGCTTGAACTACAGCATACCTTTTAGCAAAATATTACATCTTGAAAAAATGCCAGCAACAGCATGCAGACCTTACTAAGTTCTCCCATTAATTCATATCTTCAGTGCTCAAAAAATGTGCTTTATTTCCACTTTGAAACAAACATCCAGCTACTGCACACTGCTTTTTTTGTTGTGTCTAAGAGCTCATTCTCAGTCACCTCTTTTCTACATCAAGATTAATTACGATTCATCATTTAGGATAATTTGAAGGCATATTTCTGGATCCTTTAATCACTTTATGTCCTTCCTGTGAAATGCCTAAACTTTATTTCTTTGAATGCAATTGCTAGAAGTGGGTATAATGTTCCACTAACAAGTGCACTGAACCAAACCCCACCACTAAATATATAGCTCTTGTATGGATCTTGTTAATGGATGAATCCTGTAGTAGGATGTAACAGATCTTGTTACAGATCCTGAAATAGGCTCTAAACCCTAAGAGGTAGGTGCTGAAAGGTAAAAAGCTATGACCCTTGAGTATTTTTATCCTCTCCCACATCTGTAATCTTAAATTAAATGTGCCTGGTAAGGCATATTTTTCTGATGAAAAAATCCATACAATTTTATTGAAAAAGTCAAGTATTTTAAGTAAATTGTGTTGAAAATATTAAAAGATAAACTGTCAAGTCAGCATTGTTGATTGGACTCCCATGAAACATGACAAACTGCAAGTTCTTACCTGCAGCCGTTTGTTTTGGGGACTGCAGGGTATTTTGATCAGCCTATGGAGCATGAAGCTCCCTTGCACACCATCTGATCCTGATGCCTGCTTCTTTCACTCATCAGTAAAGTAAAAGCAATGATAGGTCTTTAAGAATGTCAAAACTGAAAGAAGGACAATCACCATTTCACAGCTGATCTCCTTGGACATGAATCCTGCAGCAAATTCAATTTTTCTACTGAAGAGGATAAGACTACATCAAACACCAAAATGTATTTTTTAGCACTGGAGAAGAAACAGGAGAAATGCAGCTGCTCACATGGCATTTTTTCTCAAAACACTCAATCATTTTTCAAAAGCCTGAATGTTGGGTGTTTACAAGTGACAAAATTGCTGTCAGTTGTTGGAGAGACAGAAGTCGTGTAGCCCTGCTGCCTCTTTGTACAGAAGGGTGCTGTAAGGACATATAAAAGTAATATTAGGAAAGACGGTGAGGAGCATTTTTTGTAAAAGCCCCACGGAAAGGTTGATTTATGCAGTCAACCCATAATCTTGATGGAGACCAAAGTAATTGTGCAATCAAAATGGTTTTAGATAGCATGAGAAAGGGAAGGTGAATACTAATTTACCTGCAACGTGCAAACCAAACACGTTGCCAGACATTTCCTATCCCTTGCTTGGTATTCCTGTGCCAGTCATGCACCAGAATACACAGCAAAATCAAGCCTTGGCTTGATTTAGGTCTCACAAAGAGATGTAGCACATCATGCAAGACTTTTATAACACAGTGTATCAAAATGGATGGATAGAATTTTTGCCTCAAATACAATGAAGTAACCACTATACCAACAAGGGTGAAAGCACTCTATCTAGCATGGTTTTGTGGTTGGATTCACTCATATGCAATCAAGTTACTTCCAGTATAGCTTTTGCTACATTTTACTGTTGACTGAGGAGAAAAGCATTCAGGAAAGCTGCATTTTGGCTTTACCCTGCCTTTCTGTCTTTCTTCAATTTAGAGCTTGTCTTCAGCCTTTAAAGCTATTTCACTGAACTGAGACTTATTCTGTGCGCTCTGCAAGCGAGAAAACACACCCCTGACACTGACCTTTAGATGACTGTATCCTCAGGAGAATGTTAGTTATTACTGCCTTCTTCTCTCTGACAGTGGAAGTCAGATATTCATGGTCCAGAAGTTCAAGAAACAGTCGCAGCTCCACTATTAACTCTTCCATGGCTGAAAGAGAACAAGAAAATTACTTTTTCTAAAATGTCCCATTAGAAAAAAAACACAGAGTTAATACTTATTTTTTATATTCTATTATTTTTAGCAGTTCTTAAAAACGTACAGTCTTCCCTGCTGGCAACAGACTGAGCACTATTGGCACATGTAGTAGTTACCTCAAAATAGATGTAGAAAAGACACAGTTCTTCCACATAGCACATCATCAAGACAGCCCTAGACAACAACACAGGAGTGGCATCCATCTGTTCTTCAAGCACTGTCACTCTGATTCCTCTCCTTTAAAAAGCAATTTCTAACTCCACAACAAAATTACAGCTTGATAAAACTTCCAGACAAATTCATATTCTCCAAAATCTTTAGGGAAAACTACTATCTGCACCATATTTATTCTATTTGCAGTGGAAAATAAAAGCTTTTTTTTGCATTTGTTATACTCTAATCATATGATTGCTATTCAGCAGATTTATGAGAAGTCTACGCTTCTGCGTTTCAATACACTCATAACTGAGAGTCTCTTGTCCCTTCACTTAAGTGGATTGTCTACGTTTAGTTATGGGTTTGTCTTGGATGGAATAGCTCACATTTCCCTACTTTTTCTGTCTGATGGCATTATCCTCATTGAAAGACAAGGGGAAATATTAATTTCATTTCAGGGCCACATCTAGGATTAATCTTAGTTGTTGCCCCATTCTAAAGTGCCTCTACTTCAGTTTTTCTCTACTTACACATGTTTTATGGTATTTTCAACATCTAACCAGGTGACTGCTAGTAAGTCTCTTCAGACTTCTAAAAAAAGCCCACTATTTGCTGTTTATTCTCTTTCCTACTCTCTTCCCTACTCTTAAAACCTTCTCCTATATGGTTGTTTACCCAAGCAAACCTGGAACTTGTTTCTTCCACTTGTGACGCACAACTGGATGCTTAAACTATGTTTGGTCCAGTTGCATTTGTTTCACCTGATGCTTAAAAATGGGATTGTGCAAGGAAGTCTGAAGGTGTCAGCTACACTTCTGTGAGGGGCTGCTGCCCCTTCTTGTCATCCTACCAATGCAGACGGCACTTTTTATTTGTAGATGGCTATACCTGCAAATATGCTCAGGCCAGGCTGGCAAAACCAACACACTCATAGCAAACACCGTAAGATACAGCAATACTAAGACATGATAGTATTTTAACAAACAACCACAAAAAAAAAAATCAATCACAAGAAGTCCACTTCAGCATATCATTTCTGAAAGACACCATCAATTTGCACATACATATCCATCCTGCACAAGTTTTCTCTTCACAAATATGTTCTGCTTAACTAAGCACTATCACTGCAACCATATAAACAAACAGTAAATGTTTTCATGAAGTATTTTTCTCCAAGATTTTTACAAAGCCTCTCTCATCTCTTTCTCATTGTATACCAAAAGAGAGGATCCAAAATGACAATAAGCATGCCTACATCACTTGAGAACATAGCACATGATACAGTGGCTACAGGTCTTTTTTTTTACCACCATATTTGCAGCTGGCTAGGAATCCGCCTGAAACCCAAAAGTTCTTCAGGACAACTGTATTACTTCCAGTTGTTCACATTACAGAAGAACATACAGGCTTCTGAAGCAAAAAGAAGGAGATTCAGATGATTTAAAGAGACTATTTAAGTCAGATCAGATTTGCAGAGCAATAAGAGATCACAAGATTTGAGGAAAATAAAGAAAATGAACCTACAACTCAAAAAAAAAAAAAAAGAAACAAACAAAAAATCAGCTGTGTTGTGCATTGAATTTTATATTTTAGAAATAAGATGTGTATTCCATTATTAGGTTACAACTACACAAACATTTCAGTTACAATGTTCTTTTAAGTCTGCTTTGATTATAAGGTTTACTAATATTATTCTTATGAGCATTATTTTCAATTATCATGGAATATACCAATATTTACTTATTTATGATATTACATGCATTTCAAGAGCAATACCACAGAAATTAGATACTCAATATGAAATCTACCCAGAACACAGTACTAAAAATGTACATTTTTTGCCTAGTTTTACAGCCACATCAACTACTGTCAATACATACCAGCATATATGCACTTAGAAAGGCATCAAGCACTGAAAATAAGGGACTGTCAATTCCATTTATTATTTCAACATTTATTTGAACTGGCATGTTTTCTAGATTTTTTAAGACAAGAGACTGTAAATAAGCTGAATGGGATGTCTCCCTTCTCCTCTGCCCCAGTGAATATAATGTACAAGAGTAATCCCATTTCTCTAGCTAGAACACTGGCTTCTTGAAAGGAAGAAAGAACACAAGGAGTGGAATTAAAACCATTGTACAGTATTTCTAACTTTCTTCAGTTATTAAAAATGATAAGATCCTTGTGCACTGGAGCTTATTACATAATATAAACAGATGGCAAAATGAGAAATAAAGACAGACCAAGATGGAGTTATGAGGCAAAGACACAAGGAAGCAACAGAAGAGGAAATAGGAAACTGCCACTGAAGAGACAACTGGGAGATGGCATTGGCCCATGTTTCTCCGGAAGCCTCGGTTGTTTATGAGGGCAGACAGTGATAGGACAAAGGAGGAATGGTTTTAAACTGAGACAAGGGAGGTTTAGGTTAGATATTAAGAGGAAGCTTTTCACACAGAGAGTGGTGACATACTGGAACAGGTTGCCCAAGGAAGTTGTGGATGCCTGTGGATGCCCCATCCCCGGAGGCATTCAAGGCCAGGCTGGATGTGGCTCTGGGCAGCCTGATCTGGTTTTTGGCGACCCTGCACATAGCAGGGGAGTTGAAACTAGATGATCTTTGAGGTCCTTTTCAATCTACGCCATTCTATGATTCTATGATGATTACGTGAACATGAGGCCCTCTCCTTCACATCCACTTTCTCTTCCTCCATGCCTTTAGAAGACATCTGCATTACACACTGGTGACCACAGATCACTGACCTATCATGACCAAGCTAAGCATTATAACTGAACTCAGCAGCAGTTAACAGCATCACAAACATCAAAGCATTAAGGAAGGAAGTTTTGAATTTCACTTTCTGTATATGCAGTGACATCAAACATCCATAAAGAAAAAGAGGAAATGTTGGTTCCCATCTAGTAAGAAACACTTTTTCTACGTATTTTTAAAATGCACTTTAATTTATAATGGTTTTGCTGCTTAAGCAGAGAACAGAAATACTACCATGAATTGAATTTAGTCCATACATAATAAGGAACTGCAAGCACTTTTTTTTTGAGATAGCAACAAAAGTATTTGTATGTACTTGGGAAAAAAAAACGTTTGCCTGTTTTCAATCCTTGGCTTGTTTTCTGGATTAAAGAATCTTCTTTTTCCTAGAAATGTAGTGATGTGCTCACAGAAAGTAATGGAATTAAATAATAGAAAATCCACATAATGCATATTTTCAGTAAGCAATCATTACTTCTGAAATGGAGACTACAAATGAGAGGGTGATGCAAGTCCCAAAGACAAACATATGCCTCTAGTGAGAGATTACCCTTGGAAATCTGACATCACCACAAAATAAGAATAATAATCAGAAGGATCTCAAAAAGGGGCAAAATTCCTTGACAGTTCTGGCTGAATTCTCCTTGCCAAAGGAATTACTTCTAAGTGGCAGGTGGTGAAAGGCAGGGTGGAGCCCAGAGATGGTAATCACAACAGTAAGCAGATTTTAGCTTGACTGAGGAGCAAAATCACGTTCATCATATTAAAAGATGAGGAGTTCATTCTATGCTCAATAGTAATCATAAACCCCCAAAGTGCCGCTACAATTAACATGTTCAAATAAAGAACAATGATACATCCTGAAGCGTTGCCAGGTCTGGATCTCAAGAGTTTTTAACTTTTTTTCAAATGACAGCGCATAAGCTATACAAGCAAGCCAGCAAAATAATACACCAAGGTAAAAATAATCAGAGAGAGGCAACTGCATCACACTGCAGTTTTTGTTCCAAACCAAAACGAAAACCAACTGGAATAAGATAACATAATGATGCAATTATTTCAAGTCTCCATTTATGGGCACTAGTCTATAACCATTTTTTAAAGAATAGACTTTTTTTACTCAAACTGATTAAAACACTGTTAGGAATAGTGCTATCTCATACACATGCTTCCTAGGTTTCTCAAACCAGACTAAAAGTCAAGGATGAGTTCTTAAAAAGAATGTTCAGGTTGTTTTTTGAAAACTGCATCAATATCCTATTCACCAATAAATGTTGGAAAATCTACTGACATTGTTTGCTTTCTTTTCTTCATTAGATGACATTAGAATTCCCTTGGTCTACAGAGATTTCTTCATGCTTTTGGATCCACTTTTCTAAATATTATGAAGAATGCAGGTGGGTAATATTATAGAAAAATATATTTTCACTTATGAAGCACTGTCTAGAGTCTTGCATATATTCTCCTCATGGTTTCACTCTTTTTTATGAGAAGAAAGAGGTGTTACTGTTCTGGGTTTCATAACATTGTAATATGGATCACTAGATAAATACCAGAATATGTACAAGAAATGAATGTTAAATGAAATCAAAAGAAGTAATGTTTCTTTGAAAAACAGGTACTCATTATTCATTCTTAATTGCATGATGGGAGCAGCCACAGGCCCCACAGAACCCTCTACTGTATCTACTTACTGTAAGAGAAAATGAACTTCTGGGGCATGAGACACACATCATTTAAAAAATATACCGTTTGACATCTTCATTTGTGACCTGGATGATGGGATGGACTTGCATCATCATCAAGGTCATAGACAACTGCAGACCTGTGTAATATATGATAAACTACAGGGTAGGGCTGTCATTGAAACTGACTTCAGCAGCCTGGAAAAAAAAATGCTAGAAAACACTTGTAATTGAGCAATGGGATAGAACCAGCCCAAGCAACAGTTTGGGATGGCAGCCACCTGGCTGAAAAGCAGCTTTTAGAGATGCCCCTGTGGCTTCTGGTAGACAAGTAAAGC